TAGCTGAAGGAGATTCAAAGTTGTTCAAATGAAGGGACATATCCTCTTCAAAGGGGAGATAATTACAAATTAGTATAAAATTAATGGCATCTTAAAAATCTTCTTTTCAAGAACCACTGGGCCAGGAAAAATGAAACTTATGTGGAATCATCCTCAGGTAAAGTAGATTCAAGTTTGTTCAAATAATGACCCCCGGGGGTAGGGTGGGGCCACAATGGACAATCAAAGTTTAACATGTACATAGGAGTATAAGGAATTTAAAAAAAAAAAATCTTTTCAAGAAGCACCAAACCAGAAAAGCTGAAAATGATGCGAGAGCTTCCTAAGGTATTGTAGATTCTAAATTCTTCAAATTATGACCCTTGGGACTAGGTTGGGGTCACAATTAGTAATTACAAGGAGGGGAATCTGGTGTAGAACAACAGGGCCAAAATTACTCAGGTGAGCATTGTGGCCCATGGACCTCTTGTTCTTATTATTCTCAGATGTTCCTAATGTGATATTTAAATGCTTATGATGTTGTTATTAATACATTTCAGAGCCAAAATATAACATCTTACTACAGACCTAATTGTTTTCTTGTTTTTATACTCACATGTATACTGTTTTTGTTTGTAAATTGATTTCTTAAACCATGATAAAGAATATATATTTTCTAGTAGGAGATTTTACCTTTAGTATACCAAAATTTTGTATATACATGTAGCGTCTATTCTAAAAGGGAAACATTAATTGTTTTCTGAAACCAAAACCATCAAAACTGATGCCATTTTCAAAATCTGTACTCCTGCATAACATTCAAACTTTTGGCACAATTAAAACAAGCAAGTTCAAAGAATTATGGTCCCCCGCTTTCGGTGTCTTAGTGGATGGGATGCCATTATTTATGGCATATTGTAACTGTCTTAATTGTGTGTCCTGTCTTGTCTGTGCACTATACAAAAAAGATATAAATTATTGAATTATAATAGTTATGACAAAGATTATAGCTTCTCAAAACTACATCAAACTTCAAGATCAAGGTCATGAGGTCAAATATCATACTAAAATCCGAAAGGTCTTGTCACAAGTAATGCACATGTGTAAAAATATCAAAAGCCAGAGTATACAATTAGAAAAGTCTTGAACCTTGTAATGCACATGTCAATTGTAATCTCCCAATCAAAAGTTATTAGCAATGTTAAAATATTTGAAAAGTAGGTCAAACTTCAAGGTCATGGGATTACAAATGAAAGTACATTTGGAAATGCTTGTCACAGGTAATGCACGTGTGAAATAGGATTGCCCTATTTTGCTCCTTCAAAAGTTAGCAACACTGATGAAATATTTGAAAAATAAGTCAAACTTGAAGGTCAAGGTCACAGGGTCAGATATTTTAGCATATTCGAAAACATTTTGACACAGGAAATGCTCTTGTCTAATATAAAAGCACCATCCTATGTCATTCAAAAGTAATCACCAAAGTTAAAAAAATTTTGCAAATTAGGTCAAACATGAAGGTCAAGGGGTAAAAAATCATAGCATGCACAGAAACACCTTCTCACTGGTAATGCACATGGCAAATATGAAAGCCCTATCTATTCTCAATGAAAAGTTATAAGCAAAGATAAAAATTTTGAAAAGTAGGTTAAACTTCAAGGTCAAGGGGGTCAAAAACCAACTTATGTTTGGAAAGGTCTTGTCATAGGTAATACATATGTCTAATATGAAAGCCATATCTCTTCTCAATCCAAAGTTATAAGTAAAGAAAAATTTTAGAAAAGTAGGTCAAACTTCAAGGTCAAGGGGTCAGAAATCATAGTATATTTGGAAAGGTCTTGTCACAGGTAATGTACATGTATAATATGAAAGCCCTATCTCTTCTCATTCAAAAGATATGACCAATGTTAAAGTTTTTGTGACAGACAGATGGACAGACAGATGAATGAGATTTGTCCCCTCGCTTTTGTGAAAGCGGGGGACAATAATGAGCCCTTTTACAAAATTGTGAAATTCATGTACCTAGCCTTCAGCTATGTACGGCTAAGTTTGTCATGTATTGAAAACCTTTTATATCTCCTTTTCTGAATAATAGTAGGCAAATTGTTTGCATGATTTAAATACAGTGAAGATAGCCTCTTACAAAAATTCTAAAATTTCTGTCCATTGATGCAGGTAACAGGCCCCAGGGTGGGCCTATTTTGGTCATATCTTGAAATGTTTATTATACAATGTGCATCTCCTAAACTTCAAAGAGAAAGCTTATGATAATGTTACATAGTCCTCATTAGACTATATAATTGTTGTCATAGAAGACAGAGTTCAGTTCAAAGTAGGCCCAATATGGCCATAGCAAGAGAAACTTGTAACCCCCAAAACCCTCTTTCTATAGTATTGTAATGATGCAAACTTAGACACAGTTGTATTTATTTTAGTACTGTAATAAATGCTTCAATTTTTTAGTGACATATTATCTAAAACTTCAATTTATAACATGTACATACTAACAAAGTCACATATTCTATAGGAATTTATTGTAATAGGCCATCTTTAAACCCTTCATAATGTCCATAAGGATCAGGAAACTTCTCCCTGATCCGACACACTCAGCAGCTGGGAATAACCCTTCTGTCCCCCACTTGGAGTTTTCCATGATGCCAAAGAACAAATTGTCTATATGCCGTATGCCTGTTGGCTCTGTTTCTGTCCTCATCCTCCAGCATGGCCAATATATCTTGTCGATATAGTCTAGCCAAAGCAAGGACTGCCTCATCCAACATCAGAATGTTGAAATCCTAAAAAAAAAATACATTGTAAAACAAGAGGCCCATGGACCACAAAGCTCACCTGAGTAATGTTCACCAGATTTACCCCTTGTCATACTTATTGTAGCCCCACCCTAGCCCCCTGGGGTCATGATCTACATGATCTAGAATCTACACTACCTCAGCAAGCTTTGAAATAAATTTCAGCTTTTCTGGTCCAGTGGTTCCTCAGAAGAATTTTAAAGATTTTCCTTATATATATATCAATGTAAAAATTTGATTTTCTATTGTGGTCACACCCATCCCCGGGGATCATGATTTGTATAATTTAGAATCTACACTACCCCAGTATGCTTCCATATAAGCTTCAGCTTTCCTGGCTGTAAAAGTTTGATTCCCTATTGTGGCCCTACCCTAACCCCAGGGGTCAAGATCTGAGCAATTTAGAATATACACTAGCCCAGGATGCTTCCACATGTTTCATTTTTCTGGACCAGTGATTCTTCAGAAGATATTTGATGATTTTTACAATATATTTCGGTGTAAAATTTTGATTCCCTATTGTGGCCCCACCCTACCCCCAGGGGCCATGATTTGAACAATTTAGAATCTACACTACCTCAGGATGCTCCCACATAAGTTTCAGCATTTCTGGCCTAGTGCTCCTTAAAAAAAGATATTGATTATCTCCCCTTGTGAAGGGTCTTGGCCCTTAATTTTTTTCATTTTGACTTCTCTTCACCCATGGATGCTTTCTACCAATTTTAGTTAAAAATTTCCCCGTGGTTCTTGAGAAGAAGTTGAATATGTGAAAAGTTTACAGACAGATGGACAGACAACAGGTGATCAGAAAAGCTCACTCGAGTTTTCAGCTCAGGTGAGATAAAAAATTTCAATACACAATGGGTTTAAAATAAGACCCAATAATCCATTATTTCATACAGATAATTAACTTACAGGAAGTCTGGAAATGCAACTGTCTTCACTTTTTTGACAACACAGTTGCTCTTTCTCTGTGGGCATTTCTTTACAAAAGGTACACACACACCAAGATGGCTGTGATGGTCCTGAAGCCTCAGGTAGATGAGGTTCTTTAGTGCCAAGGATATTAAAAAGATACTCTGGATTCTCCTGGACAACTGTCATAAGGGTTTCTCTCATCTCAGTAGGGGAAAGGGCATTTACTCTTCTCTGAAAAAATAAGTATTGATTCATATATTTTCATTTATTTACATTTTCCTATATGTACACTGTTCTGGTAGATCTTCGTTTAAAAAAAATTGACTTGTGTACCTCAATGTCTCCCCTTCTCTCCTCAAGTGCAACGACTGCCTCGTCCACAGGCGGCTGCTGTCTACTTCTACGTCTGTTTTGCCTTGGTGCTCGAGGTTGCAGTGATCTGGGTCGTCCTCTACCCCCTCTATGTTTCCTTGGCCTTCCACGTCCTCTTCTCTGCACTGGCACCTCTTCTAATTTTTCGCTGTCGGTGCTCTACGTAATACAAACTTATATCAGTATGCAACTTACATGCACACTCTATTCCATATTATTTTCCCGCGGATATGTCAGTTTATTGTGTCCCTTCATGGCGCCCCGACACCATTTATGAAGTTTGTTATAACGAATCATGTGCAATTCAGGTCGCATTACATCTATATGCAACACATTATACGTATACTTTTCTTTGAATAAAAATATTCTGGACAAAACTCGTTTACAGATGCATTATTACCTCTGCATGCTCCGATTCCATCTTTCCACGTGGGTTTTCTTGCTGTCAGTGAAAGCCAGGTGACGTTGACATGGACGATAAAAAACGATCCGAATGACAAAACCTTTGTTTTTCCGGCATTGTAAATAGCACTTTTTGCATGCTTTGCAAGACACTTTATTTCGTCAAATCTTCGTAAAACTTATATTTTTCATAATTCTTTCGATTAGTTATACAATCGTTTGAAACAAACTATGTAACTTTGACTCAATGTGCGTCACGGTGTCACTTTAATAATCCAAAGTTATCAATAAAATTTCAAATATCCCTATCTATTTCGATTTTTGCCTTAAAATTTCGTTCAATTACATAAAATACTTCTCGAAATTTTAAGATAAAAAAGACGTTATTAGGTTTTGTCTATTGTTGCACGTCAAGAATGTTACCGACTTCGTTATGTCGTGAGTTTTCGGCACTCATTTTTAGGTCATCCGCATATCTTTTTAACCTCTCACGTGCTTCTTTTAAATAATCTTTACTGCCATTTTGCTCCAAACAATTTTGAGTTGAAGTATTGAAATTATTTGAACTTTGTCTAAATATTATTTCTAAATTTATATCTTTTTCCGCAAATCTTATGTACCATCGGATTCGAAATGAGTGTCGAAGAGTTCTAAACGTCACAAAGACTTCGATACATTCTTGCCGTGCGACGATAGACGAGACCCAAGATTGTGGTTATATTTAATGTTTAACAAGCATTCTGAGAGTATTGCATCAGTAATACTAGTCCCCAACCAGCAAATGTAATCTGGTTCCCGCTAAAAATTGAAAATGCCATAATTCCCTCAAAAATCAATGAAGCGGAATGAAATGCGAACATGATCTATAACTCATCAAGGTAAAGTCACATACTAAAAATCAGCTCAATATCTGCAAGCGTTTAGCAAAAATTACGGAAAACCCTGAAATTTGAAAAGGTCGTAATTCCGCCAAAAATCATTGAAGCGAAACGAAATGCAAACTTGATCTGTAACTTACCACGATACACTCAGATACCAAAAATCAGCTCAATATCTGCAAGCGTTTAGAAAAAATGTGCGGAAAACCAAGTGGGACAGACTGACAGACAGCCAAAGGGACAGCTAGTCGGACAGTTAGACAGACAGACAGACAGACGGACGGACAGACTTAGAGGAAACCTATAGTCCCCTCCGGTTTCACCGGTAGATGACTAATAAAGTATTGCAAATTTGAATGAAATTTAAGGACGAAAGCCAAAATCAATAAAGGTATAAGTACCGGTATATAAAGTTTTGTTCAACGCTTTCGATTATTTAAGATTTTATAGCAGTTGTGAAATTACTTTTTGAACAACCCTCGTAGCTCATATTCAAACAAGCGCTGAAAATATTTTCTTACGATTTTGAATTAAAGAGCTAGATTCACTTTATGCATAAAACGGTCCTGTCCTCATATCAATTAATTGACTATCACCCTCTGTCCCATTTCATATATCAAAATAAAGTAGAGACTTGGTGCTTTCAATTCCTATAACAAAATTTCTTTTTGAGAATCAAGGTATCGGAAAACAGGCTTTGAGAAAATACAATGTTCTTGAATTTTGCAGAAAACATGCGTATTTGACTACCTTCAACAAAGAATTAAAGTATGAGCACAGCCCACGATCCAAAAATTATAACATGTCTTGTGATCTATAGAAACAGATCTTTCATTACGTAATTGCATATTTTGGATCAGAGGTTGTGCTGTATATGAAATATTGAAAAAAATACCTCAACTTTTGGCCAATTTTAAAGGAATTTACATGATATGGGGAAAATGACGCATTTTATGACATCATAATGCATTGACTAGAGAGAAAATTACGTCATGTTCAATAAATACACGGTCACCAAGGGTCCAAGTTATAAATACTGCATTTTCAACCAAAACTGAGCAGTTTCGATTTTTAAGAAATTCTCAGGGCTAAAAAAGGCCCTAAGTGGCTCCTGCTCTTAGATACTGCTAGTAATATATGTTTTGAATATTTAAAACAAATGAACTGACCAGTACAAGTCATTTAGTATCAATTTGCGAATCAATAGTGGGTCGAATTGTTATGAGAGTCTAAATTGCAGTTCTCTATAAGGCAAAATTTTCAATGATCTCAGTTTCTCGCCAAGGAGAGCTATCAACAACGGCCGAGGGGAACATTTGATAATAGATGTACTCAAAGAATATTTGGATAGAAAGAAATTACTCATAGATAATTCAGTTGCAAGACTTTGGTCCTTTGTACAGTCCTTGAAACGTTTTACTTTCCAACTTGCACGGTGAGCGAACGCTGAGTCAAATTTTCGAATGCTGAAAGAACGCAGAGCAAAAAGTGAATGAATGGTTGTGTAAGGCTGAACGCATTTTGGTGAACGGTTAGCAAACATTGAACGGTGATCGAACGCAGAACTAGATCGAACAGCAAACGCGAGCGCAAAGTGAACGGTAAACGAACAGGGAACGCAATATAATTTTTTTTTCCGGAATGTTTCTGATGTTTTCCTTGCATTGTATTTTATAGTGCCGACATATATAACCAGACCAAATTATTTTTTTTTTGTTCTGAACACTAAATCAAGAATAAATAATAATGATAATAATTAAAATAGATTCATTCATTGCATGATACATATACCAGTACATGCACACTATGTATGCATATTTATGTTCTTATAATAGTTTCTGCATATGAATAATATATTTAAATGAAGCTGTTTAGTTACAGATCATTGATCACTGCAGTTACAATAATATACAATAATTATTATTGCTGCTTTGAGGTCAGTGTGATGATTTAGTCATCTGAGTAGTGCAATATTCATCGAACCCGTAGGGCTTCTCTGTTTGGGCTGGCCAGAAATTATTTCTGGTAAATTGTCATTTTTTTTCTTATAATGCCTCCCCCCCACACCTTTTTTTCAAAATCGATGCTACGTGCGTGACATCGCACCAAAAGTAGATTTAAAAATTCCAAATTAATAAAGGTGTTAGTGTTTTTTAACCCTGCTTCTCTCACTGCCTTTTTCTAGGACATCTGCAAATATTAAAAAGATGGTTTGCTTTAAATGAGTTGTATCATGTAATCATTGAATAATTTTAGCTGTTTTCAGGTCAATTGATCGGGGGGGGGGGGGCAATAATTGTATATTGTTTGTTAGTCACAACCAGTTTTTTTTTCTGCTTTAAGTTCATATGGAGTCCACGTGCTTGTCCTGTAAGTCAAAATCATTTGACACTATGTTGCTGTGAAAGTCACGCCAAAGGCGAAGTGCATGTACTAATATTTCCAATGTAGTTTGGTATATTTATTGGTCAATTCCAGAAGTAATTTTAACATTTCTCAAAAATATTTTGGACATAAACACATGATCATGACCCATGAATTTGAAAACACAGATTACTTCCTGCCAAACTTTAAATTTTGAAGTAAAGACGAATAATGACCCCTTAGAATAATGACCAGGGGTCAATCATTTTTCCACGTCGAAAAATCACCCCAGTTATAAATTGACTGTTTTGCTTGTAGGAAAAGTGGCATCCTTTAAAATGTGCATTCCCTACGTGAAGAAAAATGACCTAAAATAATGACCCCTTATATATTTTGCTAGGGATATACATGTATGTTTCCTTTTGGATAAAAAAAGTTTTAAAATTATAAATAAAAAGGCCTGTGGACCAAAATGTTCACATGTTGTATACGTAAAATGAAGTTTTAGGGTTGATATGCTGGTCTCATTAAATCTTTCGAATATATGATCTGTCTTTTATGATAAATAGACAACACTAATCAATATCAATCAACTCTATGTGGAAATGCTTCCATTTTGATATGACAAATCTTTCATTTTTAGCTCTACTGGTCAGAGACCAGAAGAGCTTATGCGATAGTAAGGTATCCGTCGTCCGTCCGTCTGTCTGTCTGTCTAGCTGTCTGTCTGTCTGTCTGTAAACAATTTATCAAAACACTACTGCTTCTACAGTTTTGGTCTGATTTCAATATAATTTGGCACAAAAGTACTACACTAAGATACATAATTAAGAGCATTGGTGTTTAATTTTGATGAACGGTGTTGTCATGGTTGATAAAAATAGAAATTTCTATAACATTCCTTTAAACGCTACTCCTCCTACAGTTTCGGTTTGATTTCAGTATAACTTGGCACAGAGGGAGACTACACTAAGATACATAATTTAGTGCATCGGTTTATGATTTTGATGAACGGTGTTGCCATGGTTACTAAAAATAGAAATTTCTGTAAAATTCCTTTAAAATGCTACTCCTCCTATGTATAGATTTGGTCTAATTTCAATCAAACTTGGCACACAATTAGACTACACTATGAAACATAATAGTATCTAGTTTTTGATTTCAGTAAATGGTGTTGCAATGGTTACTAAAAATAGTTATTTCTGTGAAAGACTTTCAAAACGCTACTTCTCCTACAGTTTTCTTATGATCTAAATATAACTTGGCACACAAGTAGACTACATTAAGATACATAATTATATTCATTGCTGCATGTTACAAAGTTTCAAATCCAAGTGCTACTTTTCCTTTATGCGTACAAACCAGTAGAGCTACAGTCTCATCAGAGACTTCTGGTTTTCAAGTAGATATTTAAAAAATGTTCCCTTTTATATTCCACACACACACACGCAGAGAGAGAGAGAGAGAGAGAGAGAGAGAGAGAGAGATTTGTTTATAACGTCTCTCTACCGGTTAAAGAGGTTGTGTGGATGTGTTTGAGTAACAGTATTTTTATGTCAATGATTTTAACAGTGTACATACATGTAACTTTCGGACATACAGTAAATATATATTACAATTTGAATAAGCAGAATCGTGTGATATTTTAGATACTTTGGTTCATTTTAACTTACCGCAATAGAACAATCACTAATTATCTATCCATTGAAATTGATCGTGCAGATATCCAAATCTTATCCCCAAAGTGCAATTAATCCATGTGATTAGTACATGTAACATCTTTGTTTTTTTTTTTTTTTTCTAGATGCTCTCCTTTATAAGAGGACTGATTGATTGATTGTTGTTTTACGTCCCATTCAAAAATTTTTCAATCATATAGGGACGTCACCATATACTAGTGAAGGGCTTTAAATTTTGACCTTTACTGGGCACTCAGGACCATTGAGCAGTGAGGGATCTTTATTGTGCCAACGCCTGCCGTGACACGGGACCTCGGTTTTTAAGGTTCTCATCCGAATGACCCGCAACTTTCACTTCAAAGTGCGGAGCGCATGGCGAAGGAACAGTTGCTACCCATTTTTTATCGACTTAGGACAGTCGCGGCCGAGATTCGAACTCACGACCTCCCGATCGCAGAGCGAGCTGTACCTACTGACCTACCGTGAACGGTATAAGAGGAATCAGGAATGATAAATCTTATATAAAAAAAAAAAACATCAAATCTGTTTGAACGATTATGTAATTCGCTAAGTTCCCCAAACATATATCCAAACAATAAAGTCATTATAATGACCGAGGAATTTTTTCAAAATGCTGACTTTGATTGAGACTGTTGAAAGCCTTGTAACATCATCTTATTTGTCAGTATTCTGCCTCTGTTTAAAGGACGATCGTACTCAAGAGAATTTTCTAGCGTTCCAAATAAGTACGGAGACATAAATACCATGTGCAGGTGATAGTGGAATATATATATATATATATATATATATATATATATATATATATATATATATATATATATATATATATATATATATATATATATATATATATATATATATATATATATATGTAACAAGTTTGCGATGGAAAGCAGATTTGGACGTCATTCCGATTGTCATAGGAGTTTAGTTTTTAATTGTCTATAATCGCTAAAATATCCAAACATAAAATGAATGAAAAATTAAGACAGCAGTCTTGACGAATAGCCAGCGTGACATGTCTATTGTGCGGTTGCACTGTTTTCTGAAATCAAAATAGGTGAAATATGAAGATAACCAGCAGTAAGGAAACTCACAAATCCATTAGAACATTACATGGGGGAAGAACAAACAAGGACTTTTAAAAAATACATGAGAGTTGGAATAGGTGCCATGGAGAGTTAAACATCCCAATCGACCGGTCACACCCACTATGTGTTCCTTGCTATGATCGGGCAAATGGAAAAAAAATCCGTAGACAATTCAGTGGGAAAATAATTGCCTAACAATTTGTATGAAAAAGTCAGTAAACATTCGACTTACGGATAGATTGTATTTGCGAACAAGGTCATTGTATCGACCACAAAATGTGCAAAATGTTGCCTTCAAACGAGACTTTGATATCCTTGTATCATATACTTATTTGTCAATAGTTTGCTTCGATCTTAAAATTGTTCGTAAGTAGAACACACTCTTCCGTATCGAATCAACATGGAGACATACTCCATTTACAGGCAATGGTATATTGGTACATAATTAAGGGGAGTTGACGATAGAAAAGTTGAAGTTATCACATTTATCATAAAGTGTTACTGTTAGTTTGCTATATGTATCTTTTGCTAGACTTAGTACATGTTAAATATCCAAATGGGTATAATAGATCTAAATTACATTTGATGTGTTTTATTACATTTTAATTGCGTGTTCGTGCATTGTGTGTCAGTAAAACGCAAGAGAATTAAGCACTGAGACCCAAACATTGTCATCAATCACCTCTTTTAAATTCTGTATCATTCTGTTTGGATGGTGTTTATTTTACAATGGGGTTCAATTTCATATAGGCTGTTCAAAACGTAGAAATGGAGAATACGGACCCTTAGTTTTTTTTCTACAAATAATTGCGTTTTTCTACGGCTAGGTGGACAATTTTCTACGTCGAAAAATAGCCTCGGTCATTTTTCTACGGAGGACATTATTCGTCTTTACACTGGCGCGTGTATTTTGAACTACGACCCTCAAATGACTTTCTTAGATATATGCATTCTGGAGAGTGACGTTTTAATGTATAAATCTCATTGACCTCTTGCTTAATGTTTATTAAGTTATACTTTATGTTCCTTTGTTATTGTTGCAAGTCTGAAGCCAAGTCAACTGAGCTAGTTTTTTGATGGATAGAAGAAGATAACAACAGTATTGAAAGTGAAAAAATGTCATTTATTTCAGTAAATGATGCAAAACAAAAATACACATAGTAAGGGGGTCAGAAGAGACTAGAAAAAACTTCTAAGAACACAAAAATCTTTGGCATCATATTATGCAAACTGATCCCCTTTAAAATAAACATACCATAAAGCAGGCACTGATATGCGTGCCATCAAAAAAGGGTGGGATAAAACAAAATGAACGCCACAATCCAATTGCAAATTTGATCCACCCACCCATACTGCAAATACTGAATAAGCTAAGTGTCTGATTTCAAAAAAGGGAGAGTGGTGTTCTTAATTAGATCAAACGGCAAACATACATAGTTACTCACCTCTGCGAATAAAATACTGTTTAAAATAAATAAACATACATAGTTCATGTGTAGACTATATGTAAGGAAGAAAATATTATCCCCTTTTAGCTCCTCCAAGAATTTGCTTTTTTCCGTGTATTACAATTTCCATAAATATTTTTAAGAACACTATTACTGTCCATCACACCATAAATATTTAAACCATAATGTTATCTAATTCTCAAAACTATTCTTAGATGTATTTCTATAGTAACTGTAAAGCGTGGTAGAAATGAATATATTTGTACTTGTAATTATGCTAAATGTGGTTAATCAAACGACTTGGAATATCATCTCTCTATCAATGATATGTCGTCTATGACATAACAAGAAAATGATGCGGCCCTTGAAATATCTGCATATTGCGTATTTAATTTAATCTTTCAGTATCTTTCTAATTAAATTTATCTACATACTTACAACAACATTTACTTGATTCAAAACGTTTAACGGTGAGCGAACGCTGATCATGACATTTTGTGAACGGTTAACGCGAGCGATTGGTGAACGCTGAACGCAAAACTATGAACGGTGAGAATGAGTACGAATGTTAAGCAAACGGAAAATTTGAAAAGTAGAATGTTTCAGGGACTATATGAAAAAAGTGTCACAAAAAATAATTATATATGTTATGAAGATTTTTTTTTCAAATTCGCTATTTATATTTTACAAAGTTTCATGTTTCAGTTTTGTAAATTTATTCCTAATTAAATGCTCGAGCTATTTCAAAAACTAATCTAAAAAGGAGATTTTTCAGTGATTTTCAATGATTTTTCAATTTTTATACACGTATGTCTAATCTCAAAAATTACTTATTGAATCAGTGCTGTTCTATTTTTCAATGATTTAGATTTTGAAGTTTCGACTGTTTTCCCTGTTAAAATACAGAGCAGTGGACTTCAGATCGGTTATATTGTTGCTGCAGCTATTGGTGGTTTGGTGTTAGGATTAACAGTATGTGCTGTTGTAGTAATCTGCATTATGAAAAACCGAAAACACATCAAGGAAAAATCCGAGTAAGCTTTGTTTTCAGAATTGTAGAGCATCAATATCTGACTGCCAGTCGGTCGAAAATGGCTTAAATTTACAGGAAATCTGATCTACCAGAAGCGTGCTGCTTATTTAATATCAAAACTTAATTTTAAAAAAAACCCTGTGAAACTGTCAGCATTGTATATATTTCCAGCATACGAACTACTCACTAGCATTATTTCTTCTTTCTAATAGAAATCTTGACTTGCATTTAGCAAATAACAGCAGTTGTAAAACAGATATGGAGGTAAACATCAGCAAAAATGCCATCGAACCCGCAGAAAACGTAAGCGAAAATAATACTTTTTGTTTAAGGTATGTCACTCGTGACATTATTTATATCAGGGATTTTTTGAGAAGTATATTTTAAATAAGTATTCATGAAGCATGACCCAAAATCGCAAAGAGAATTGGGGGTCAGTGTGCATCTTACTGAGCAACGGTACAAAATAACTTGACCTTTTCTTGCACCAGTAAAAAAAATGCACTTAAATTGTAACGCTTAGGTTAATCACTTTAACCTTTATCATATTTTACCAGATGTAATCAGGGCAATAAATGTATTCTTATTTACGAAAAAATGGTTTGAATAATATTAATTGGACAAATCATGAAAATTAATTCGCATACATTATTGTGACCTGTTTGCACTTAAAAATAATCATATTTGGGGTATTAAGAAGCTAAATAGGCAATAAAATATTTCCATTTATCCCATGTTTACCCTTTTATCCCGTGAATATCACTCATTGGATATTTTATTCATATCCCACAGCTGTGACGTCAAAATGCGTTTTGCGTGAGAGTGATGAAGTAAAATGAAGTGGATTCCTACATAAAACAGTGTAAAATAATGAGAGTGATGTATAAAAAGTGGGATAAAAAGAATCCCCCATGATTTATAGTTAGATATGATTTTTTTTCCAACTCGTTTTAGGTTTTTAATCACCTCGCCAAGGCTCAGGGATAAAAAAAAAAAAAAAAAAAACACACACACACACACACAACTCGTTGGATAAAAATCATATCCAACTACGATTGGACGTATCATGTAGTTTAAAATAATGAAAGAAAAAGTTGGGGCCAGTGATATCAATTTTGAGATATTGGTAAAAATATGCGATTTTCAGGGGAAAAAAAATCACAGTGTAAATTTTGTCTCGAATTCTTCAATGTATCTTTATTTCTTGGCAAAGTTTTTTGACTGAATGTGTAAAATTTGTTCTAAAAATATTAAATAAAACCTAAATTTAACATCCCTTGCATATAATAATGGAAAAATTCTCTGATCTGAGTAAAAATATGAAGGGCTAAAATTCCAGATATCTAATTTAACAAATGCATAGATTTGAAGAATTTTCTTCTAAATATCTTTCCTCCATTCAGAACTAAGGAGTAGTCCCCCATAAATCTTGTTTCTTTACATGTATAATTTTGTGGGCAGTTTTTAAACTAAATGTTGTATAATTTGCTTTGTTTAAGTCAAATATGTTATAAAAATTGAATTTTATAAATAGTTTTGATGTGAGAGGTTCTGACTGAACTTTTCTTAAAAGCTGACGAATGACATACCTTAAGATAATCTGAAATTTCATTATGAAATCGTTATACAATGTTTTATTTTGGTTGTAATAGAAAAAATCGCCAGTTGGACCATTCAGCGAAAGCAACGAAGAGTATTCTACATTCCAGAATACAAAGAGAGAAAGGGAAGATATATACAATCATCTAAATGAAAAGACTGAAGAACGAGACCTTGATGATTATGACCACACTCACGTTCCTGCCTGAAAACAATCAAACTGCTTAATACTGCTGCAAAATAAGCATGAGAATCATGGGCTTCTGTGCTTCAGACAATGAGCATAAGCAATAGATGCAATCTAATTTGAATTGGCATATTACATCAAAACGCAAAAAAAAGTTTTGTGAGTAAAATTATGTAGGTCCAAAGTTCCAACAATTTTTTAAAAAATCAAATCTGTTCACTTTGAATATTTTCATCTTATAATCATTCCATTATAAGACATAATTCCCAATAATTCTTTTTCTTTCCGACGTTTTTAATTGAACCCTGTACAATTCGTAGTATTTAATTCAAATATGTTGAAATTAAATTGTAGTTGAAAATTTTGATATTTAAGGCTGTAAGCGAACTTTTCTCAGAAGCTGATGGATGACATTCATTAAGTATACTTTGGCATTTTATACTAAAACTACTATATTATCTATGTTAGACTAAATTAATTTTAGAGAGCATTAAATCGTGCACATTCTTCAGCTTTACCAACGAATTAATGTTCCAAGTATTTTTTTTTTTTACAAAACTTTATAACATTTTTTTGAGTATCATATGTAGTTTAAAATTCCACCCAGAAATAAGGTAAGAAATAAAATGATGCAAACAGTTTTCTTTTTCAATCATTTTTTTTCTTACAAAGCCGAATACATGTACATATCTTGTCAAAAAAATTAAATAGTTGTAATAATCTTTGATATATTGGGATTTGAGAGACAATCCTTGAATACAAAAAGCAAAAAGCAATGATTGCTTTTAGCTTGTTACGTTGACAACCAACATAAAAAAGACTGAAAATATCCCACACACACACACACCCTCTCTCTCACACACACACACACACACACACACACATATATATATATATATATATATATATATATATATATATATATATATATATATATATATATATATATATATATATATATAAATAACAATTTAAACTCGGAATACATTGTTTGTGAAAATCCACAGGATTTAACATTCCGACTAATTGTTTGAGGACCCGCAGCACCTACAGCGTCTCAGCAATCTACTAGATATAGTGTTGAAATCTCTCAGCCAACACGTTAAAAGTTTTATCCGAGACGATTTAGATTTTTTACGACATCTACCTAACCAAGTCGATTATGCACAAAACTGTAGTGAATTTATACACCAATACAACCAGTACCCTAGGAAACAAGGGTAAATAAATTTCTGGATTGAAAATAACAGAAATGAAATTGACAACCGATTTAAAACGGAGTTTTTATTAGACGCTACAGAATTAGTTTAAACCCTTTAACTACCAGAGATTTTGCATTTTTTCTGCAAAACTGCCTAAAAATTTCGAATTGAAATTTTAACATTTTCTAGTCACTTTTACATAAAGCAACCTATACATTTTCTGAAAGGTAATATCTTAAAGTATTTAATTATGCAGAGTAAAATGACATCGTGGTTGCCATAGCAACGAATGAGACCCATAATTGCCAAAATATGTGCCCCCCCCCTTTTACATCACAGAAATACAAACAAATTTACAAATAATGTTTCCGCAACAGAGGATTTAGTGATACTGTTAAAACAAAGCATGCAAACAATTAGTTTTTAGTTATACTGGCCAATTTTATTTGATAGAAAGGGTTTAAATACAACTACACAATATCCGTCATCCGTAATGACTATGGCTTTACAGCTCTCTGATTGTCGTAATTACAAGCAATTAACAAATCGCTTTCCCTCCTAAAGTTTTTACCTGACTTCAGTAAAATTTGGTACACTTTTAGAGTGTACTAAGATACACAATTCTTTATTTAAGTTTTTTTTATTTCAATGAACAGTGTTGCCATGATTACAAAATAACAATTTTGAGAACGGGACTTCCTAACAAAACACCGGTATACTATATTCAGCAATTTTTAAATCGCTTTCCCTCCTACAGTTTTTGCCTGACTTCAATAAAATTTTGTACACATGAAAAGAACACTAAGATACAAAATTCAGTATTTTAGTATTTTTATTTCAATGAACAGTGTTGCCATGGTTACAAAAATAGCAATTTGAGAAGGGGAATTTCTAACAAAACATGGGTATACTATATTTAACGCCATGGTACACATTAAAATTACAAATATCAACGTTACAAAAGTTGACATATATTAAGCGTTGATCGAACGGAGAGGAGGAGGGATATTGCTGAATATTGTCTCTAATTCGTTTGTTAAATGTTGATTTGATGTCCGGGGAATCATGCGAGAAAATATCTTGCATTAAATATTTTTTTTTTTCTTTTTGGAAAACCCATGTGTTCTAGAATAAACAATATGAATGATTAGTCGTTTTTGACATCAAATGGTCCCCCATTTACTTTCAGAAGATTTTTATAACTGAATAAAATTACTTACCTTAATCCAGAGACCTGCATCTGAGAATTCACAACACCCTGATATGTACTCGAACATACATTATCACTAGTTCATCATTAAGTTTTAAAAGAAGGTCATGTGGAGAGTATGGCAAAGAACTACGCACACTAACTCTCGATTCCAGCCTATATTTTACACCCTTTTATTCAATAATTTATTTTTTCATATTCCAAACGAGAGTTTACTAGTGATTGAATTATATTACTGTCATATTGTAATTTTTGAATTTACCGGATGAAAGTAAATACAAAATTACAATATTACAACTTCTCATATTGTAATTTTTTTAGCTCACCTGAGCCGAAGGCTCAAGTGAGCATTTCTGATAAAAGAGTGTCCGGCGTCCGTCTGTCGTCTGTAGTCCGTAAATGTTTCACATTTTCGACCTCTTCTCAAGAACCAGTGGGCCAATTTCAACCAAACTTGCCACAAAGCATCCTCGGGTGAATTTAAGTTGGTTCACAGGAAGTGCCGCGCCCTCTTTCAAGGGGAGATAATTAAGAATTCGTGAAAATTTGGTGGCTTCTTTTAAATATCTTCTTCTCAAGAACAACTGGGCAAGAAAAGATGAAACTTACATGGCCGTAGGAACCGGGGGGGGGGGCACGGGGGGCCTGCTCCCCTCCCAATAATTTTGCCGATATATAGATTACTATAGTAAACATAGATACTCTATATGCTTGTGCCCCCTCAATAAAAACGTCTGATGCCCCCCCCCCCCCATTTTTTTTTTTTTTTTTTTTTGATTGTCAGGAAATTTTTGGTAGTGCACCCTTAAAGAAAATGTATGGCTGTGCCCCTCCCCCCCCCCCCCAAAAAAAAAAAAAAAAAAAAAAAACAACTGAATTTGCTTCCTACGGGCCTGACTTATGTGAAAGCTTCATGACATACTGTAGATTCCGATCTGTTCATATCATGACCCCCGAGGGTAGGGCAGGGCCGCAAGAGGGGGTCGAGGTTTTACATAGGAATAAATAGGAAATGTCTTTTAAAATCCTCTTCTGTAGAACAACAAAGCCATGATTAGTCATATCATAATAGAAGTATCTTCAGGTAATGTAGATTCAAGATTCAAGGGCCACAACAAAGGGTCAAAGTTCACCATAGGAAAATATTGGAAATATCTTTAAAAATCTTCTTCTCAAGAACAGCTAAGCCATAATTAGTCATATTAATATAGAAGTATCGTCAAGTAGTGTAGATTCAAGTTTGTTCAAATCAAGACCCCACGGATAGGGCAGGGCCAAGACAGTGGGTCAGAGTTTTACATGGGAATATATAGGTGTAATGGTTAAGGGGCATTCGAGTAAAATGCATTGAGGACCTGAAATAGTGGAATGACCTGGCAACCCTTGGAATGGACTAGCCAACTCAAAGGGTATATAAGCCAAAGCTTTGGGAAACTCAGGCATTCAGAAGCTAGCAGAAGAAGTTAGATGCTGAATCAGCAATAAAGAAGCAAAGGTATTCCATCCCTAATAGCATTAGATTCAATGAAATTGAATACTCGACAGATATATAGGTGTTTAATACTCAGTATATTTAGACATATTTCTCATTTATTACTATTACCATGTAAGGGTGGGATGTGTCCTAATTTATGACCTTCAATTTTGGAAAGGGTTATCTCTATCTGTTTTTATTTGAAAAATTCAATTATAAAAAGCTTATCTGGTAAAAAAAGTTTTCAATTGTCATTCTTTTTCTAATGTTTTATGCATCTTTCCACCACAGCATTTATTAAAATTCTTTTTATTTAAATATTTATTTTTCAAAGAAAAATCCCTTGTCCCCTTAGACTTTAATGCAATCTTTGTTAACTAATTACTGCTTAGTTAATTACATTTTTGAAACTTTCTCTTGATTAATCCTTTTCTACTATAAAATGCCTTTACATAGGAAATATCTTTAAAATCTTCTGCTCAAGAACCACTAAGCCATTATTAGTCATATTTATACAGAAGCAAACCTTAGGTATTATAGAATCAAGTTTGTTCAAATCATGGGGGCACAACAGAGGGTCAGTTAAGTTTTGTATAAGAAAAAATATATTTTTTCTTATTGAAAAAATCTGTTCAAGAACAGCAAAGCCATATGCATGATTAGTCATATTGTTATAGAAGCATCCTTTGGTAATGTAGATTCAATTTTGTTCAAATTTAGGGTGGGTAGTGAGGGGCCACAATGAGAGATCAGAGTTTTACTTAGGAAAACATAGGATTGATTGATTGTACGTTCTGTACAGTCGCCCGCGTGGCGCAGTGGTTAGAGCGTCTGCTCTAGAGTCGCGGAGTAAGGAGTTGATCCTTACGTCGCGGGTTCGAATCCCACTGTGGGACGTGGAGACCGGTCCTTCGGATGAGACCGTATAAACCGAGGTCCCGTGTCGCAGTAGGTGCTGGCACGAAAAAGATCCCTCACTGCTCAATAGGCGTAAGTGCCGAGTATAGGACAAAATTTGCAGCTCTCCACCGGCAAGTGGTGGCGTCTCCATATGAGTGAAAAATTCTCGAGAAGGACGTTAAACAAAAAACAAACAAACGTTCCCTACAAGAATTTTTCATTCGTATAGAGACTTCACCATATACCGGTGAAGGGCTTCAAATTTAGACCTTTACTCGGCACTCAGGGCCATTGAGCAGTGGGGGATCTTTATCGTGTCTACGCCTGCCATGACATGGGCATCGGTCATTAATGTCTCATCTGAAGGACCTGCAACTTTCACTTCAAAGTGCCGAGCGCATGGCGAAGGAACAGTTGCTACCTATTTTTTTTTTTTATCGAATTATGTCAGTCGCGGCCGGGGCTCGAACCCCTTACTTTTCGATCACGGAGCGAGAGCTCTACAGAATGAGCGACC